CAACCTTCAATCTAGCTCACAAATGACTTTGGACGCAATTTAAAAAATGGAAAAGGATTTGGGAGTGAGAGAATCGAAGAAATCTCGAATGAAAAGTGAGAAATGAAGCTTCCCCAAACCCTAACCTCTTTAAATCCTTTTCTGGTCAAGACACTCTCACTACAGCGAGATACTCTCGCTACAGTAAGGCATCTCGTGCTGCAGCGACGCCTCTTGTCTCTACAGCGAAAATATCAGAGAAAATTGCACCCTAGTTTCTGCAGAATCTTGCTACAACGAGACCCTCTCGTTGCAACGAGACTGCATCTAGAAATGCAACTGTCACTTTCTTAACAGAAGTAATTTTGACTAACAAGTGTACTAGTGTTATTGTAGCAAGTAATAAAATGTTAGAACTGTGTTTGAGTCCCAAATATCATCCTCAAGGAATAAAGTTCTCAATTATCACTTCACAAGTCCATAATTAGTTGAGCCTTACAAATTCCAGATGAAGTTTGTATGCAAAAGTAACCAATATTGAAATTAGAAAATAAAACAGAACAATGAATATGGAAGTATATATTTGACAGATGTAGAAAATATATTTAGGGACTTGTTTCACCAAAACTTTAGTGTTGATTGATGGAACGAATTTTCGCTACTCGTTATGCACAAAGATTGTCGTTAATCCTCATCAAATATGCAAAGAAATGAATGCAGTACTAGGATGTTGTCCTAGGTCGTCTCCAAGGAATTTTTGGTTGGGAACATACATCGAACAAGTGTAAACATAGATTTTAAAGCAAGTAAATTAGGGGGAGGTTTATCAATTTCCATATTTTAATCAAGAGCAAAATGTAAACTAGTGAAATTTAATCAATTAAGGAGAGTAATCCCTAGTCAATCAATGAGTTCTATCCCTATTCTTTCAAATGATTCAATAATCCCCTATTTTTCCCTTGAATTAAGTGAATCTATCAAGCGTAAATTAACTTTAGCATCCCAATTAAAATTAAGTATCTTAATGGGCTCCAATCTCTATCCCTAAGATTAAACAATCTCAAAAATTAATCAAATTAAGCAATTTTGGATTAGAATTTTGTTTGGGTAAATTAGGGTTCATTAAACAATGTTCCCCTCATGTAAATTTCATTTCATTCAGAGATTAGGGTTAATAAATCCAAGGAAAGAAAGAGTAATATTACCATTAAACCCAAGAATTCAAGAACCATATGAATTGACTAGGAATTACAAGAGAATTTAGCCCTCCATATGGATGGGCTTCACAAATAAAAGAAAGAAATGCAAAAACGTAAGCAACATTAATGTAAACTCAATGAGAATCAAAGGGAAATTGGAAATTAAAACCTATAATGGATCCCTGGTTGTCACCCAAGGCTCCAAAGCTCTAGAAAGAAAATGTCCTAATTTGGCAAAGAGAATCAAAGAAGAATAATTGTTCAAGTCTCCGTATCCTAATTCCTAAAATCTATTTATAGTGGAAGACATGTCAGCAAAGTGTCCACTTTTGTCTTTGAAAGTGTCCACTTTGGGCCTTGAAAGTATCCACGCGCATATTTACGTAAGCTTGCCAATTCTTTGGAGTTGCCACTTTTCATGCTGAACGTAGCTACTTTGGATGCGCGTAGCCACTTTGAAAGGCAATAGTGACCACGTGCAAATTACTTCCAAAAGTGGCGTCCTAGAGCTTTCTGGAGTTGCTACTTTGCATGCTGAAAGTGGCTACTTTGGATGCGCGTAGCCACTTTGAAAGACAATAGTGACCACGCGCAAAATGCTTCTCAAATGGCGTCCCTGGAGCTCTCTAGAGTTGCTACTTTGAAGGTTGAAAGTAGCTACTTTGGAACCTTTAATGCCCAGACTTGCTGTAGTTGCCACTTTTGCTCCTAAAAATGGCTACTTTGGGGGCAACTTTCATCCAAGGGCTAAGATATCTCAAAATTAACTTGGGGACTCTGCAAAATTATCAAGACAATTAAAATTGCAATCTATATCTATTTAATTAAATGCAAATTAACCAAAAATTAATAAACCTATGATATTTACTCAAAATATGATTTCTATATCATTTGCACTATCTAAGTCCATTTTTTCTATCAAGGAGCACCAAAAAGGCAAGTAAAAATATAATAAAAAGTGGATTCATCATTGATTCAATAAAGTTCTGAACTTTCAAGTATTTAGATGGAATGATAATCAGTTTCATGTTTTATTATTCAAATGTTAATTCCTTAACTCAACGAATCTAACATTTAACTAAATCACTCTAATCCTTAGATCTGGTTCAATTAAATATTCCATTAAGCATTAGAAACCAGAAGATTGCAAGATCAAGATATCTTATCCCTAAGAAATCAATAACCTTGGTAATTGATTCAGATCTGGGAAACAAAGTCAACTTTCATTAATAAGAGTTCCTCTGTAATTAGTTAATCAAATTTCCATTCAATCACTATGTGAATAGCAGAATCAATTACTCAATCCAATCCAATACTCAAAGTTCATATCCAAAATCAATTCAACACTTCCATTTTAGATTCATAATCCCTAACTACAAAGAGTTTAAGTAACCATTACAAAATGAGAAGAAAAAGAAAGAGAAGAAGAAGATGAACGAAGAAGCATCTTCAAGCCATTCTTCAACCTGATTCCTCAAGATTTGAAGCTTGGTGTTCGTCCCCAATCTTTCTCTCAAACTCTCACAATACCAGAAAACAAATGAGAAGTGAAAATGAACAAAAGATCCCAAGATATCTAACCTAATTCATATTTATCGAATTCCCGCCTTTCTGGTGTGATCACTATTCTTCATAAAAGTAGTCATGCAAGGGCCTTTCTGATGTTCTTCATAACTGGAATGATCACTTTTCTTCACAAAAGTAGCCACGCTGAGATCGAGATCTGCGCGTGTTCACTTTTGTTGACAAAAGGAGACACACGCAAATTTGCAGTGATGGAAGGTTCTCTGGAACAATCACTTTTGTGAACAAAAGTGATGACACACAACTTGCTTTCCTAGAGGCTTCTCTAGAACTATCACTTTTGCCAAGAAAAGTGATCACGCACAGATTTCCCTTCACTTTCAAGCTCTGGAACGATCACTTTCGCTAGCGATAGTGATCATGCCCAGCTCTTACTTCCTAAACCTTGTTCCTTGCTTCCATTTTTGCTACTTTCCTTCTATCTTTCCTTTGATCTTTCAACCTCATGAACTTAGCTCAGAATTTCCTACAAAATTATGATTGAATCATTAATTTCTACACAGAAAATTCATAAATTCTAAAACAACTATGTATTTAGAGAAAACTTTAATCATTCTATTATTTTTATGAGTTTTTTTGCTTTTTCCAACATGTTTTCTTTATCAGAGGTATTAAAACTAAGGTAAAATACTAATAATATATAGATTTATCACCACCCCAAACTTGAATTTTTGCTTGTCCTCAAGCAAATCAGAATATATCAAGGGCATAAATTCATTAAAAAATCCATAATGAAAACTTAAATCTAAGGTGTTACATGTAACATGCGTACCATCATTTGAATCTTTTGTTTTAACCCTCCAAGCAAACAACTCAGTTTGTGTTCAGCAGGTAAACTAAGCTGAGCAACAATAAAATCAAATGCCTTATGAGAATCTGTAATTGACCCTTGCTGTCTTAACTTCATTAATTCGACCATAGGATCATCACAGACCTCTCCAAACCTGTCAACCAAAGGACTAGTGTATTCTGACCAAGAAGGTAAATTGGATAATATTATGATTTTAACATAAGCATTGTGCCATTGAAGTGCTCTACCTTTGAAGTGAACAACAACCAAACATACTTTGTAATCATCCGGTGTATTGTCAATAGAGAAAAAAGTTTCACATTGCAGGATTCATTGTTTCACAGCATCACCATTAAATCTTGGAAATTCTAGCCTAGCCAATCGGGTGTTACAAGAATAAGTAAAAGATTTTTCACCCCGAACTGGATGTCCAGAATTTGGCAAGTGAGTTGGCCCAAGATTTTGATTCTTGCAAAGATCTTGCAACTGTTCATGAAGTTGTTGAGACAAAAATTGGCCCAAAGATTGAGTCAATGACTCGTGCAGTGATTGTTGCATCGTATTTGCGAGTTTTATGAATTTAGTGTCGATCTTCAAGCTAAGACGTGTTTCCAAACAATCCTCCATGTCGCGTTCTACCACTCGATTGCATGTTGAATCTATCATTGATGAAGCTTATGGAACGTAACAAGTTGATACCACTTGATATAGCAGTTCTAGGAATCTAGAGAAACGAAGAACTTGGATAATAGGGATCCTAGGAATTGGAATGGAACCTGAACACTTTATTTATTTGGTTTGAATTACAAGAGAATAATAGTGCAAAAAGTTTTTTGTTACTGAATGTTTTCAAATTCTGTTGTGAACATTTATATATAGCTTATCCACACAACAGAATTTACAAAAGTAACCCCTACTTATAATTGCCTATAACAAATCAAACTAGCAATGTCGATGAAAATGTGCAGGATAGGTGTTGCAATATTGGTTTATAGTTAAAATGATGAAATTTGATGGTCGGTACTTCTAAGGTTAGCGAAGGGTGAGGGTCATTGTCGTTTCTTATCCTGACTTTCATGAAAGATCTGCTTATTTCCTCTAACGAGTGGAATGGTAGTACGAAGTAACTGTAAAAGGGAGATGTTCTATGCCGGTTAAGATGTACGATGGTATAACTTCAGAAAAACGTATACGATATGATCAGAAAATTTTATGTTTATGTTCACGACTAACATAAGAAATTGAGTTTTCTAGGTACTTTGAATAAACATGCTGCACTTAAGTCTTTTCTAAACTGAGTGTTCTTGTTCTAGTTTCTAGACAATTAGACCGAGGAGTAAAATCCTAGGCTTCTCCAGGTAAAACAATGTAACATACGATTGAAAACACGTTTTAATATCAATATGTAAGTAGTCCAATATTATCCTGATGGGGAATAATGATGATTAGGAAAGACGGTTTACCTGTTTGAAAAAAATAAAATACTGGACAATACATGCAATTCTATTATGGGAATATCTCACAAACGATGACCATCATATTTTGTTTGTTTTTTTAGTACAACAACCCTGTATGAACAATAGAAGTGAAGAATTTTAATACAGTAAATTGGATCAGATACAATAACATGTCAAGATATCCTAGTCCTAGGCTTTATCAATGTTACAGCTTGCATCTTTGACTAAAATCTGTCGATACCCTCAACATTGAATTGGTTATCTCAGAAATTTCACCATCTGCGGCGCCTTTTTGCATAAAAATAAGCAAATGCAGCTATTGATGCAGCAAAAATAACCCCGGCTGTAGCATGCCAAGCATATAATGGTTTCTCCAAAACTAGGTCTGAGGCCCTAACCTCAACTTGTGGGGATGCGACCGGTTTTTGGCTAACAGAAACTGCATACCTCAGACCCTGTCTCTCCAGTTCAGTCAAGTCTTCGATTTCCGGCCTTAGCCTAGTGGCCTTGGCTACGGCTTCATACTCTTCTTTTGTTCCACCTTCAAGGAAAGTGCCAACAAGATGACCCTTGCTTACCCAGTATGCTCCAAATGCACTACCCGACATATCTCCATAATAGACAACATCCCCAACATTATCCCCATAAAATTGCCAAGACAATGTAAAGACTCTGGAGTAGAAAAAAGGAAGATAATCAAATTCTCCTGTTTTTTCTGGTTCCATTATGGCAGCAACAGCATGTTTTGCACATTTCCGTGCTGAATCAACATGCTCAAGTCTACGTGTTTCCCCAAACGCTTTGACTAGAAAGGCTGCAACATCTCCAATTGCATAAACTGAGCTGTTACTCGACTGCAACATTCCATTTACTTTGATTCCTCCTTTTTCCAAAGTAAGCTGGCCTTCAAACAGACCTGTATTTGGACGTATTCCAATTCCCACCACAACCATGTCAACAGATAGCTTCCTTCCATCTCTAAGATTAACAGCTGTAACCTGTAAAAAGAGCCAGCTAGGCATGATCCAACCATAGTCAAATTAGCTCAGTTCCTTCTAATCATTTCCTTTTACGATATGGACAAGGTTGGTTGTTTTCTTTTTATGAATTGGAAAAGATTTGGCACAATCAACCTCCCATATATCTTACAGCCTTTTTTCTGACAACAAAAACTTATACTAGGTGAGTCAGCTACACGTAACATACAATGTTATTATGTTCTATCAAAAGCCAAATTTTAGGAAAGGTGATTTTAATGTGTTCACAAAGTTAGCAATTCTTTTTGTTAAGCAAATAGATCTTCTATTAGTCTTTTCCTCACAAGACCAAAATCATCTCAAATGAGAAAAATCATAAGTACCTTCCCATTGGAGTCAAAATCAAATGATGACAGCACAGTTCCCTTAATGAAGTTTACTCCTCTTGATTTATAATATTCTTCATAGTAATTAGCAATCTTTGGGGTAAATAAACGAGCCACTGCAAAATAAATAAAATATTGAGAATATCTATCAGGTTTTTAAGTTGTTTTTCATTCACAATAGCTACAAGGGGCATTGTATCCAGATTAACATGTGCAAAGAAACATACTCATTACTAATATATTCAGTTGACAGACAGTTTTAAATTAAATACTTACTGCAATGTGCTTCTGGGAAGACCATTGTTACATTTATTTTATTGATAACTAAAGACGCCGCACACTCCATGCCTATGTATCCACCTCCGATGACAACAGCATTTCCTCCAGGACAAGATTGCATAACATTGACAAGCCTATCTGCATCTGCTATATCTCTTAAATAACAGACATTTTCTGCATCTGATCCACTCACCCCAAATTCTTCCAGCTTCAAAGCCTACACTTGACATTACACATATGTTAGGTATGCTTCTGTAAAGAAAGCAAAGTGTCCACTACATAAGTACATTGGTGAATTTATCCTCAGTTATACTAAACTAAAACTAGTATTTAGTATTTTCAAGAAGAAGATAAGCTGTTCCTTTTTTTTAATTCAAAACCATGACATGGATGCGCTTCAAGGAGATAAACTGCTAATTATATTTAACTAGGAGAATTCTGACTGGGAAATTTGTTTTAGTACCCGAGCACCAGTAGCAACAATAAGAATCTTGTAACTTATTGTCTCTCCCGTTGCTGTTAATAGGGTCTTACGTTTCACATCCGCAGACTTAACCCCAGTTCCAAGAACTAATTCAATCCCTGGAAAGAAAATAATAGCAATTGTAAATGAAGCAGATGTTCAAGATAGCAAACTCCCTAAATAATATCATTAAAACATTGAACAGAGATCAAAAATAACTTTTTTCAGCAAGCATCATTTACTGATGAAATGATTAAGAAATTTAAATAAAAAAATTACTTCCTAGCAGCAAACATGGATACTAATTACCAATTGCAATGAATAAAAGTCATCACATTGCATTTAACTAGGTTCTTCTTAGTTTTGAATTCAAATACTTCAGATCTAATTATTGGAGAAAGATGAAATACAAAGGATTTATCCTCTATATTGATTGATGGTGCTGCCACCTGAAATAAATCATCCATCATGAAAAAAGAAAAAATATAATAACTGATAACACATCCGCACACATGACGCTCTTAAGTGAAATTTAGCTTCTGCCAATACATGCCAGAAATATATTTCCATCTAAACACCAAATTGCTCCTGGACTCAACACCCCCTTCGATGCAAACAGTGATCAAGCAAGATAATAAATGAAATGCTGATCCATTACAAACCTTTATACATCTGATTTCCACCAATGATCATAGCTAGATAGAGTATTATTAACTTCGCTAATTTCCACCAAGAGAATTCTTAGGTGGTTGACACAAAACAATTCACCATAAAACTAAGTAACATTTTAGTATTAATAAAATTTTAAACTCAAAATGTTGATTCAGTAGGGTCGCTGGATCTAGATGGTATCAACTACTGAACTTGATCCTTACAGTATGAAAATGAAATCAATACTAAGCAGGACAAAGCAAACAACATCCAAGGAAATCGCACAATACATTTCATTTCAAAGGGGTAAAAGGGATGTAGCCTCAATAAATTACAGCATTAAAAAACTCACATCACGATGTCAAAAAAATATAATTACCATGTTCTTTATACCATTTTGGAGTTAGTCTTTCCTCATTTGCACCAACACAGGTATGAAAGGATGGAAGCCGTGCAGCAGCTGTAAGTTGCAAATTTATTTCAGCCATGACTTATTGCATAAACTTTGAAAAGAAAGAATAAAGTTAAAATATGGAAGAAAAAAAGGTCACATATGAATATTTAGTATCATGGCTATCATCTATCTACAATATTTGAACGACAAGGAAATGCCACATTTAATCCTCCGAATGCAAGTATGATCCTAAGCTCCCAGTTCAATCTGTTACGGACAGAGAACATGAAATGGAAATGGTATATGTATAATTTACTCTAATTTAAATGGAAACATTAAAAGGTAAAAAATGCCAAAATCTCCCACACACTCCAACCTCTACATCACTATAAGGATCCTTACATCACAGACTCCTTCCCACTAGCTAACTAACTGTGACAACTCAACCTCTTAATTTTGATTGTTTCCCATCCTATGCCTTCTATCATATATACAAGCAAAATCTTAGGCCCATGTTCTGCTGCTTTGAAAAACTGTTTTCCATTTTATGCCATCTATAGCCTAATCCTAATTTGCTCAGGTAGTCAGGGCTACTTCTGAAAACTTGAATATCAGATTATTTTGAAAAATAAATTGACGATACTCCAGAAGGTAGCCAAAACTAAAAATTACAGCTACTTTTCCCCAAAACTAAACAGAAATTATCAAGAGAATTACAACGAAGTTTATATATCAGTGATCCCGGCAATTAGATATCTTGGCTGTGATACTTAAATTTCAAAACATAACCGAACTCAATGGCATTGTGTGAAGTGTAACAAGGCTTGTTGTTGTATGGAGTTATCACTTAAACAGGAAGCTAATGACTTTTCCAAATGTAAGGATTTAAGCCATATTATTATCAGAGAGCGGATGTTCAATTGGACAGAAGTCCTGATCAAATCATTTGATTGTTAATTGAAAGGGAAATAGAACATGATGCAAAGAAAAGTAGTAACTTATACAAAGAAGAGTTAAAATAAGAGGGTCACTTTGAACAATCAGTATAGCATAAAATACTTGTAATAGAAATCCACAACTCAAAATAACCAGTTGATAAGGTTCCATACCTTCTGGAAGCAAAAATCCTTTGCTTAAAGCAGGCCTTTCATAAGGAGCAACCTGAGAAAGACATTTGATAATATTTATATACTTGTGACAAAACAGAGAAGGCCCATTCTGGTTTTTGACCAAAACTCAAATTTAATATCAATAGATAAAAGCAATAAATTCTACATGAACGAAATTAATTACTCACAGCAAGAACTCAGAATCTTATTGAGTGAAGCAAGCATACCAGACCCACCCAACAAAATTTCAATTTGGTTGTCAAAAAAGAAAAGAAAAAAGGGAATGATTATTCTTAATTTCTTACTGGTTCATCGGAAATAATACATAGTTCACCGTGAGAGACCCCTTTTTTGACGAATTCAAGGGCAGCATAGCCAGCAGCCACGCCTCCTCCAAGAATCACGTACACAAAGGCTCTCCCCATTTCTCAACATCCACACGACACAACACAACAAAACCCTTTTGTGTTATTTATCTTCAATTCAAAAATCGAGGGTGCACAATATTTTGGGAGCGCTTTCGTTCACGACACACAAATGGGAGGGCTGCTGCATTTAGCCTCGTATCCCCGAATGAGATCCTCTCCGTGTAGGTCTACAATATGCTGCTGGATACGCCCCATCGTTGTCGTTCATCTTTTCTTAGCATTGCCGTTTCCTTATCTGACTTTTCATCTACCGTAATTTCACTTGTCATCGCGCATCTGTTAATATAAATTTTATTATATTCAAATTTATAATATTTAAGATTAATTTTCAACTATACTTCAATTATATTTATTGTTTTCAAATTAGTTATATACAGTGCATTAATTTTAGAGTATGTTGTGATTTTAATTCAATTTACGAATAATTAGTTCGCATATATTGAATTATAACTTGGTTTATTTACGAAACAAGATTGGTTGGTTAACTTGTATTTCGTTAAGGATATCAAACTTGACGCGTAAGAAATATCTATTTTTTTAATATATTTTTTGAGGGTGTATGGATATTTAATTTTTCTTCTTTTAAAATTAAAATTGTTTAATGTATTATTTCTCACAAAATAAAATTTTAAATATTTTATAACAAACTTTTAATTTAAAAATACATATACGAAAGATGTCTCAATCAACTCTTCACAGTAGCAACATTATTCAAAATTATATCTCTCTTTGCCGCTCTATCATTTTCTCTCTCCTCAAATTCATTTATTTTTTAATGTTAAATTTAACTTTTCATATTATTGTTATAAGTATACATACTCCATTGTTCTTTAGATTAATTAGGTTAGTTTCATTCCACAACTTTAGATATTTTTCTCACTTTACTCTCCATTCTTTGACTCTCTTTTTCTTTAAAGCAAAATCTATCATTATTTTAATTTCTCTTTTTATTTAACGTAACAATACAGTTTCGTTCATTTAAATGATAATTATTTGATTAGCACATTATACAAGTCAATTTTAATTTACGAGAAGAAACTTATGAAAGATGTTTCATTTGTCAAATTTGGGTTTATAAGGATTAATATCCCTAGATATGCTAGGGTAATTTACTAATTTGAAGTTTATAAGAAATGTTAATAGAGAAGGAAAAGAATCCTAACAATTATATGAAATATTAATTTTGTTGAAAATTGTAGTATATGAAAATTTTAAAGTTAATAAACAGTTTTGAACAAATATTATTTATACTCAAATAGTGGTGATTTTAGTTGTGATAGTAGTGATTCATGTTATTCATGGATAAGTATATATGTGAAAAAGTAATAAAAGAGTTTAAAGTAAGTTCTTAAGTTATCGTCCCATATTATTTTCAAGTACTAATAATATCTTGATTTAATTGTTTAAACTGAAAGGATGTGCAGTGAATTAAAAACCAAAAAAGTTTAAATTCAAAAGAATGGACAATAGTTCAACTCTTGATAAAAATTAGATGAGATCTAGAGTATATGATTTCACCTATTATACCTTTCTATATTTTTTTTCATTTAATTAATATTGGTATCCCTGTGTTATACCAACTATTCATACTTATTCTATTAGCATTTAATGATCATGCAATATTAATATTATTTTTTACAAGCAATTACCTTCAATGATCATACAAGACAAAAGATAGAGAAAATATAAAGGGTCTATGAGTTTGTAATAATAATGGTTAAAAGAGAAGAATTAAGTTTGATCTACTTAACCTTTTATTTCGTTTTATCGTGTAATTTCATTAATTACATGTAGTATGGTTGCTAAACAATAATTTTTTTCTGTTATATGTTATTCTAGTTACAACAAGAATCTTCACTATAGTGAGAATGTCTCTTTCGCTATAGCGGTAAGAGAATTGTTGAGTCATCTTTATCTATTTCTAATTATAGCGAGACTCTCTTGCTATAGCAAAAATACTTTAGAGAGCATGATCCATAATGTTCTTTTTCACTAAAGTGAGATATTTCTCGCTATAGTAAAAATTCCTGCACTAAAATTTCTATTTTTTTAAAAATAAGACAAATAAATTAAAGATGTTACACATCTTACTAATGTCTATTTACTTATAAAATAATTTTATTATTTTATAATTTTTAATCAAATAAAATTATAAATCCTCTCAATTAATTTTGCTTCATCCATGACTACTCAAGCACCCTAGCATACTTAAGGAACTAGTAAGAAAACAATAAATTCTCGTATTTATAATATTTTTATATTTATTCTTTTTTTAATTTATCATGCAATTTTTTCCTTTCAATAGAAAAATAAATAAATAAAAATACTCATTTATAAATGTCATAATTTAGCCAAATTTTATATTTAACCATAAAATTTATTTAATATAATTATATTTTGCCTTGATTTAAGTTAAATTATTTATTTATTTGTTTCCAGCTAAGTAGGTATCTACTTACTTGTTTATACATTTAATACATTAATATTTTTAAGATAAAAATCAAGATTTATCTTACATAATCTACGAAATATATCAATTATGACTAGGTAAAGTTTTAAACAAAATTTAATATATTTCTTAAACATTTTTAGTTTCATTTTTTTATTAAAATTAGACTTCCATAAAAGTTCTGATTTAATGGTAAATTATAAAAATAAAAATTTAATTAAAATAAAAATAATATAAAAATATTAAAAAGTTACACTTTAATTTTGTTTGCATCGAGAAAAGTCTAAATCTAATATAAATATCAACCTTACATGTAATGTAAATTACGAGAAAATTTTAGTACTATATTATACGAGGTATTAACGTTATTTATCAATTAAATTTTTTTTATTTTAATAAATTAATTACATTTAATATTACCTCAGATTATTAAAGAAAAATTCTAAATTTAATTAGTAAACACCACCAAAATACTTAGGACTTATTTGCTTTCTCTTTTTAAATATAATATTTTGTTTTTAAAAATAAAAAATAGAAAAAAATTTATTTGTCACGTTAATTTTTAAAAATTATTTTTAAAAATATTTGTAGTTTTTAGATTTTAAAATTTGGAAATAAAATTACTATTTAGGTGTTTTTATTTTTTATTTTTTTGTCTTTCTAAAGCTAATAAAATTTTTTAAAAATGGTTTTAAAAATTAAATTATCAAATAAATTTTATTTTTATCTCTTTTGAAAATAATTTTATAAAATTGTTTTAAAATATAATTTTTAAGAATTAAAAATTAAATCAAACGAGCTCTTAATAAACTGTTTTATCCTATAAATTAACTAATATATCATTGTCTTATGTTATTAAAATATTAATGCTAACGTTAAAAACAATAAATTATATCATCGTTGTCGTACAAAATTTTAATCGGAAGGCATATTATGCCAATTTAACTTCAAATCGATATTTGCTTTGAAATTATGAATCACAGATAAATAAGCGTTTTTAAATTCAAGTTAAGTACATGCATGTATGCAATTAAAATGTCGAATCGGAATCACGTTGAACCACTCGTGAAACAAAGACTGGTGCCTATTTGAAAATGATCATAAACAACTGCAACTACTTAGTGAGAGTGGAGAATAAAAGAGACAAAAATAATAAATATGATAAATAACCTAAAGCAATAGAAAGAAAACATTAAAAAAATGGATTAAATCTATGTTGATATTGTTAAAAACGAAATGGAATCTGCCAAAAACAAAAATCTATGCTGTTTTGGGGGAATGATGAGGAAGACGTAAACGATAGATGATGTAGGGATGGATGGTCATAAGCTGCAAAATCTGCAAGAGATTCTACCTTCTGATTTGTGGATGATGGTGTAACGTATCTGTGGATGAGGTCTCATATAGCCTCCATACAAAATCTATTTATCGTAACTTATCCTTATCTTTGGCGTATGTGTAAATTGAAGGAAAAATGATAATAACTACATAAAAATATAATTGAAAAATAAATGAACCTTTCATCTTCAAACAATAGTGTGTTTTTTAGTCCAGAAAGATAAGAATGATTTTGCTAGATGTTACTACGAGAATGTAATTGAATTGACACTTTATAAAATTTTCAGTTCTGAAATTTATGTAAAAAATTTCTGTTTAATTTTTCTCAATATGACGTGGAAATTAGAATGCATGATTTTTAATAAATTTAGTTTGACATTTACGTACGCAACCGCTTTTCATGTATATTATATTATCATTGTCTCACTTAATAATGCAAACATGTATATGTTATCGTAAATGTAAACACATTTAGAGCTGTTGTTATTGATTTTAAAAACTAATTTACCTATGGCAATGATCTACGATGTACAGAGAATTTTTTATTTATTATAAATTAGAGGTAATAATTAATATTTGAATTAAACAAATGTTCCATTGTAAAGTATTATAAATATTATAGTTGACATCAATTTTATTACGAAATATGGATAATGTGTCATAAATAAATAAAATTCCGTTCACTAACAAATAAAAATTGTTAAAGTTAGAAAAGTCTTTGTTATTATAATTTTTATTTAATAAAAAATAAATTATTAGTATAAACTGTAAAGAGTTTAAAAATAAATAGGATTTAATATTAAAGCGTTCATATAAAATGTTTTTACATTATTAATATATTATAGTAATATTTAATATATTAATACTATATATTAATATTTTTATCAATAAAATAATTTGTTAATATAAAATCATAATTTTAATATTAACAATTTAATTTTATAAAAAAATTGGTACTGATAGAGACCAATTTAACATTAAATTATAATAAATAACATTTTTTTAATTACTTTTTGTTTTCTTTGCCGTGCGTTTTAGTTAATTAGGAAAGAGTACATTAAGTATAAGCAACATACCGTTGAATTAAAGCAGGGTTTTATGATTAAACTTAGACAAAATGTTTTATTATTAGATATGCAGTGTGCTTTGTGCAAAATTTCCCAAAAAGTTATTCAAAAGCTAAAAGGAATATTTTAATTATTTAAATCTTAAAAATTAGGATGATATTTTTTTAATTTAATTCTTATTTAAAATTTTTTAATTAAATAAATGAGAACGTACAAAAGAGTCTCGAGATAAAAATAAGAATAGTATTTTCAACTTGTAAGTAAAAATCAAAATTATTAACTAGAGTA